GCCCTGACTGGGACTAGATCCCGGAGTGCCGGCACCACAGGCAGAGGATTAGCCTAGTGAGCCGTGGCGCCGGCCACTCCTGGCTCTTGACTTCAACCTGGCCCAGCCTTGGCCATTTGAGAAGTGAACCAGCAGATGGAAGATAAGATCTCTCTCTCTCCCCCTCTCCCTCTTTCTCCCTCTCCCTCTCTCTCCCTCTCTCCCTCCCTCCCTCTCTAACTGCCTTTCAAATAAATAAATCTTTTAAAATGTCCATCACAAAAATGAGAAGTAAGCAGCATAAACAAATGGTTTCAAAGCTTACTTGTGCTCAGCCTTAAAGAACAGCTAATTACAATGTTGTTCAACTATCCGTGATCTTAGGAAACTATGAAAATATTCAGATTCATAGTATGGAGCCAGTGTAACCTCAATACTCAAATCATACTTTAAAAATAGTTTAAAAGTAAAACAAGTCAAGCTAATTTGTGAATATGTATGCGAAACTGAAATATAATATCAAGTAAAAACAGCATTTTGTTAAAAACATTGCAGTAAAAAGTAAGTTTTATTCTGGGTATGAAAGGAAGAATTGATGTATATAAGATTGCTTAACATAATTTGTTCTGTTAATTGATGTGAATGTAATAGAAATGAGCACAAAGAACAGAAATGAGGTACAGAAACAATCCAACTGGTTACAGTTGGCATCTGTCTTATTTGAACATGGTTTGAAAAATTGGCCACTTGTGATTGGCTGAGACTCAGCTATGGGTTACAAGAGTAAGTTACAGTCTGTTTACACATCAAGTTTGGTTACAGTTAACTATGTACTTTAAGCCAAACTCAAAGTGTGTAGGGAGGCAGCTTTAGACTAAATCAGGCATCCCCCCCCCAAAAGCCCAGGTACAGATAGCTTTATCAATTAATTCTATCAAATATTTGAAGAAGAAATAATACTAACAATTCACAAAATTTTCAGAAAATTGGAGGAAAAAACTTCTTAGCCCATTTAGAAGGTCAGTAGTATTACACTGATATCAAATCTAGACAAAGCTATTGTAAGAAAACTACAGATATCAATACCCATCATGAGTATAGATGCAAAAATGCTCAATAAAGTATTAGTTAGCCAAGTCCAGTACCAAAAAATATATTGCACACTATAACCAAGTGAGCTTTATTCTAGGGATGCAAAGTTGATTTCACATTAAAAAATAGTAGAATATTTCAGTGGTATAACTACAATAACCACATCCTTTCTGTAGATGCAAAAAGTATCATTTTTCAAAATCCAACATAACATAATTAGTACATACCACTACCATTAATATATTAATGAAAGATGTATGTTTTCTATTTACACTTACCTATGTTTCTTGAAATTGTTTACTTTAAAATATATCACTTAAATAACTAGTGAAAGAAAAAACCATTTTATCATTATGGAGAAAAAGAAATGTGGGAAGAAAACTAGAATTTGGGATTTCAGATGTACGCATACAGACTGAATATTTAAAAATTTAAATAGCTTAAATACGTTTCTTAAGGTGAATCATCTTTGAGTTCAGAGCAGTAGGAAATTAAGGCAGTCTGTATGATTCCAAATTGCATGTTCTTTCCATAAAGCAAGCATCTTTAGATGCAAACCCTGACCTCAAGTCCCTTCCTCTACCTATCCTTCTGTTGGTGTAATTCAAATTGACTGGAGGGGGAAAAACAGAAAACCTAGGAATGGCGTGATTTCTAGATATTTTTATCTGGATCTCAAGTATTCATGCAAGAAAAGCAGGGTTTTTTTTTTTTTAATAAAAAGACTTTCCAGAGAAGAAGTAAAGCAAATTACTGGTTTCTCCCCCTCCTTTCTTAGAACTCTTTGGAAGAGACTGAAGAGGGCATTGAGGACATAGTGTCCTCTCAGTTCTCTGCGAACACCCACAGTCTGGCAAGTGGCCTCTCTACGGTAAGCACTTCTCTAGCACATGGGGAAAGTTCCTTCTTTCTCTTGTTCATTTTCTGTGCATTTCCAAAGGAGATGTGAATGTTCTTGGAAAAATGTGTGCTAATGAGTTAGAAGTCATTGTAGGCTCCTGCCTGTCTTTGCTCACAGAGTACTTTTCAGTCTAATTTTTGTGGGCTTTTTCTAAGGTTCCTGATTCCTTCATTCTCCTTCTTCAGTCCTCATCCAGTTTCGTTTTTTAATGTTTATTCATTTATTTTTATTTGAGAGTCAGAGAGACAGACAGGCAGGGCTCCCATCTGTTGATTCATTCCCCAGGTGCCCACAACAGCCAGGCCTGTGCCAGGCCAAAGTTAGGAGCCAGCAACTCGATCCAGGTCTCCTACATGGGTGGCATTGATCTAACAGCATGAGCCATCACCTGCTTCCTACCAGGGTCTGCATGTTCAGGAAGCTGAAATAGGAAGCAGAGCTGACACGTGAACCTAGGCTCTCTGCTACAGGATGCGGGCATCCCAAACAGCACCTCAACCGTTACGCCAAATGCCCACCCCCTCAGCCAGGCTTTCAGTTCACTTCACTCCCTAGATCAAGTCCAGTCAGCAAAAGCCAATAAATTATTCCAGTTCTCTGCTGACAAATTTACCTGACATCGTTCTTGTAACTCCCCAACCACTGTCGACACTGCTGCCAGTCATCTTCCTAGAGCACGTACCCATTCCAGTTTCTCGCCTACTCAAGAACCATCCGGCTGGTGCCGTGGCTCACTTAGTTAATCCTCCGCCTGCCGCACTATCATCCCATATGGGCGCCGGGTTCTAGTCCCGGTTGCTCCTCTTCCAGTACAGCTCTCTGCTGTGGCCCGGGAGGGCAATTGAGGATGGCCCAAGTGCTTGGGCCCTACACCTGCATGGAAAACCAGGAGGAAGCACCTGGCTCCTGCTCGATCCATGATCATCGCACTGTGGTGCATTCATGAGTGAACCAAGTGAAGGAAGACCTTTCTCTCTGTCTCTCTCTCTCACTGTCAAATAAAAAAAAAAAATCCATAGTTTCACACTGCCTCCAGAATAAAGGCTTTTCTTACTTTAGTCTTTAGAAAGTTCCTTGAGACGAAGGATGTAGAAGCCCCTGTTTCCTGTGTTTCACTGTTTCTGTGTGACTGTAAGTCTTTTTCTTTGCTCCTCTAATCTCTGTTTCTCTAATACCCCTTTTCTTTTGATCTTTGGATAACTTCCTTAAAGAATTCTCAAGCAGGATCTGAAAGAAAATGGAACTACTTAAATGTGCCTGATGCTGACTCAGACACTGTGAGTTTTCAACCTTTCTCTTTTTCCTTCTTTCTGACCATACTTCATAAATTTCACAGTTTGGGAAATATGACCAGGTAGGAAATTCTTGCAGCATTTATCTTTTTATGACTTGTTTAAAATTAACCAAATGGTCTCTTTTAAAAGATTAATGAGACTATCAGAGGCCAAGTATTTCAATCCACAAGATGTTAGAATCTTAGTGCCAGTCAAAAGATACGTAGTGCAAAATTATTTATAATTAACAAAACCTGTAGATTAAATACCTCTGTTTTCTATTACAGCTTTGGTTTAGTTAAGAGTCTACAGTTTTGTTAGTAGTAAAATTGCCATAATTGCCTTTAATTTCCCCAAGCCTTAGAATTCTTGGGTTCTAAAATATCTTTCTATACATGGGGGGCCCTGGTTATAGAATACTCTTTTTAAAGATGTGGTCGAAGAGAGATGTGGTATAAACAAAAGAAGATGATAAAGTATGGTGGAGAGGGCTTCAGACTAGAAAGCTTTTATGGCTTTTATGGCTTGACTCTGGCAACAATGTTTGTGGGCCAAAGTTTTCTCATATCTAATGCGATGGGGCTTGAGCTTATTCTTGAAGCCCTTAATAGTCAAAATATGACAATCACAGGCCAAAAATAACACCTAACCAGTCCATTTATTAATATGTTAAGTCTAAACAACTCAGTAAACACTTGCAGCCTAACAACTTAGTATCCATTTGAAAAAAAAAAAAAACACAGCTATATTGAAAAGTAACATTTATATTTCATTCCTAAATAGTCTCTATTGCTGACTAATATGATATGCATGCCTATTTCTCAAATCTTGGAATCTGAACATAACCTTTTTTAATTTTCCATTCCACATTGATTTTTATATACTTGCTTTTTGCTACAGCAACTGTCAAAAACTCAACTTCATACAGATAAGAGTTTGTGGAGAAAAAGCATGATTTAATACTGACACTTCAAACTACCAGTTACTAGTTTGCATGGTGTCTAATAAATGTCTCTATTTCCCTTGAAATGTTGAAATATTATGTACTGCTCTTGTGAGTGTGCTGTGGTGCTCTGGGGTACCTCAACACGTGGTTTAGGGAATTGCAGACCTAAGAGTTTGTTATTAAAGTAGAATCTCAGAGCCCACTCCAGACTAGATAAGTGAGAATATTCATTTTTAAAAGATGCCCAGGAGGTTTATATGCAGTTAAAGTTTGAAAAGCACTGCTCAAAGGCATCTGCTATATACAAAAATTCTATTACATTATCTTAATATAAGAAAGATAAATTAGTTCACTCACTGCCCTCTTTAAACTGTAGTTTCCTAATAATTATGGAATTCTCAGCTTGCTCTTGTCCTTGACTTAACCCTGGAAGAGATAGGAGCCACTCCACCTGCATCCTGTCTGAACAATTGGAGGTATATAATAACATTTTTGCAATACATATATATGTATATTCTATCAAAATTCTTGTTCTCATATAAAAATGGAAAGTCTAAGCTTGAGATTTGATTATTGGTTTTTTTTTATTTTTTTTTTATTTTTTGACAGGCAGAGTGGACAGTGAGAGAGAGAGACAGAGAGAAAGGTCTTCCTTTGCCGTTGGTTCACCCTCCAATGGCCACCGCGGCCGGCGCGCTGTGGCCGGTGCACCGCGCTGATCCGAAGGCAGGAGCCAGGTACTTATCCTGGTCTCCCATGGGGTGCAGGGCCCAAGTACTTGGGCCATCCTCCACTGCACTCCCTGGCCACAGCAGAGAGCTGGCCTGGAAGAGGGGCAACCGGGACAGAATCCGGCGCCCTGACTGGGACTAGAACCCGGTGTGCCAGCGCTGCAAGGCGGAGGATTAGCCTAGTGAGCCACGGCGCTGGTGAGATTTGATTATTGTTTATATCTCTTGTCTGTACTCCTTCGGAATAGGGGTCTTTCTACTCTCTACTTGTTGAATTCTTTATTTAGTAGAGGATTAAGCCTGTGACTATAAACTAAATTGAAAGTATGTTACCACAAATATTAAAAAAAGAAAGGAGGAAGGAGGGCGAAAGTATCATTATGGGTTTAAAATTGTATATATGAAATACATAAATCTGTAAAACAGATTAACAAAACAGAAATCTGTTCTCTTTATATACATTTTAAAAAGCAAAAAATAAAAATAAAGTCTAAGGTCCCTTTATACTCACCAGAATCCTATATTCCTAGTGGTTCCCAGGAGTTACAAAATTAGAGTCATTCATTCATTCATTTATGTCTTCCAGGCAGTCTTTTGTGACATTCATATCACAAAGGTACAGTTTTCTTTAAAGATTCATTTATTTGAAAGAGTTACAGAGAGAGGTAGAGACAGAGAGGTTCACTGCTGGTTCACTCCACAAATGGCTGTAATGGCCAGAGCTGAGCTGATCTGAAGCCAGGATCCAGGAGCTTCATCTGGATCTCCCACATGGGTGGAAGGGCCCAAGCACTTGGGCTATCCTCCAATTTTTTCCCAGGCCATAGAACCAGGAGCTGGATCAGAAGTGGAGCAGCCAAGACTCGGACCAGCACCCATGTGGGATGCCAGCGCTGTAGACTGGGGCTTTAACCCACTGCACCACAGCACTGGCCCCCAAAGATAGAGTTTTTGTTTCTAGGGCTAAAGGATAATTTCGTAACATGTAATTTAAAATATGTCTCATGCCATTAATGCCTTATCAAAACCCTCACTCATTCTGGTAGATTTCAACTGCTGTTTTAAAATTTACTGATTGATTGGTACATGACTTTATTATTCAGTGATCTATTTTGTATGTTACTATTTTCTAGAGACTCCCAAAGATGTGGCTACTAAGTTGAGGGGGGGTGGGGAGTGATCGTGTCTGCTGTGAGTACATGATGCTCACCTGGCATGTCCTTCTTAAAGCTGGAGCTCTGGCTCCCCAGAAACTGATGCACTGATCCTCGTGGGTGTCAGGGATAGAAGCTTATGGCTGCTGCTAGCACAGAATATGAAATGAACTCTTCTTTTTTCATATCTTTAAAGTACACTGAACTTAACTTTACCAGTGAAAGAAGAGAAAGTTCAGGAATGGGGAGAGGGCATGGGATTGGAAATACTTCAGTGACCCTCTGTTCATTAGAGGGGACTAAGCAAAGGGTATTCACTAACCCAAAAAGGAACATTTGCCCTGTCAGCAAGTTTCCTGCCTTCCTTAATTATGATACTAGACTGTTGTCTTTTCTTGGTCTGGTATTTTATACAGAACCAGGAAAACAAACAAAGCAAGTGATTTTTGCTTTCTTCTCTCACCTTAGAGGTACCTGCTCATTATAAAGAACAGGAATTTTAATTTAATGAAGGGGTAGATTCTGTGCAGAGATCCTTAGAACAACACTGAACATGTTTTTCATGTTTATTCCAGACCAGCCTTAACAGCATGATGAGTGTTTACAGTGAAACAGGAGACTATGGCAACGTGAAGGTCAGTGGGGAAATTCTTCTCCACATCAGCTACTGCTACAAAACCGGCGGGCTCTACATTTTTGTCAAGAATTGCAGAAATCTAGCCATAGGAGATGAAAAGAAACAAAGGACAGATGCGTAAGCACATAGCCTGTTCCTCAGATTATTCCAATCATTGCCATTTTTGTCTGTCTGTATGTTTCTTTTTAGAAGAGTTTTAGCATTCCTCTTGATTCAGAGCCTTGTCAAAGAGTTGATTGTCACTTTCTTCCTATGCCACACTGTTAAATATTCTATGAAACACGTGTGTAATGGCTGTATCCTTGATTACTTGGTTTTCAAGAAGCCAATACTCAACACAATTTAGGGTCTGATTTGTTTGTAGTTTATACTCAGGCAGCTCTTTGAGGTAGAAGGCTGACATGTTGGCATATCCAGTATGTACAAGAGTATCCTGTTAATTTTTATTATGGGAAATCCTCCAGAGAAAATTACCAAGCCGATACCCAATTGATACCTAACTAAAAGGGCAATTATAAGGCTTTTAGAATCTGGGGTAAACCTGGAAGGGTAGATGTGGACCATGATGTATCAGATGGGAGCTAGATATAAAGATATGTCAGGTGTTCCCAAGAACATTGCTAGGTGTCCCTAAGAATATTACCAGGTTCAGTGATTCACTGGAAGTACTCACAGCACCCAAAATGTTGTAATCATCACCAAAGGGAAGAGGTACATGTGTCAATGTCCTGAAGAAAGCACGCTCAAGCTTCCAGGAGTCCTCTTCCCATGAAGTCCCACAGGATGCACTTGATTCCTCCAGAAGGGAGTTATGACAGTACAGGCTCATTGTTGTCTACCAAGGAAGCTCATTAGAGGTTTGTCTGGTCATATACCAAATTTCCAGTCTCCCACAAGGGAAGCACTTGTTTTACATGTGCCATATTTTTGTACAATAGTTTAGGCACTGTGAGTCACTTCTATCAGTTCTGGGAATGGTGGGAACCATCCTGAAATCTGAGTGCCCAGATACCACCCAAGGGTCAACTTTGCAAGCAGGTATTTTTAAGGATAGTGATCTCAGGCCTGCTGTGTTAACTCTTTTCATCATGATACGTGACCTAGGCCCAATAAACAATTTTGTTAAGTTGATTCTAAGTATTCTAAGATAGACAAATGAGCAGATTCTAGTTTTGGGGATTTAGACAAACATGGAAAGGGGCTATCTAAAGCCCCAGAAGATGTGGACTGTGGTAGCATCTTGTGAATTTCAGTCTCTACATCTTGTATATTTCTGAGTCTACTGTGATGCCCTGGCTCCAAGAGGCTCCCAAGATAACCCAAGACAAGTTTTGGGGTAGAATTACTATCTTAACATCAGTTTTTATTTTTGTTTCTTCTTTCTTACCCTTTTCTTTCATTCACTGATTACCATTGAATTCACTCCTTGACATCAAAAGGCAGGACTAAGAATGGAGATGCATAGAACCTCAGAAAAGTTTGTGAAACCATTGATGATAACAGATTACATTTATTGAGTAGTATAGTATCTCAATTCGTTATATGTGTCAACCAATACGATCCTCACAATTCCATGAGTTAGAGACTGTAAGTGTACCGGTTTTACAGATGAAGAAATTGAGGCACAGAGAGGTTAAATAAATTCTTGGCATCACCAAAACCAGGGAGACATAGAGTGATTCAAAACCAGATGTCAGTGCCAGTTGTGGTACAGTGCATTAAGCCACTGCTTGCAATGTCAACAGCCCATATCGAAGTGCTGGCTACTCCCTTCTGATCCAGCTTCCTACTAATGTGCCTGGAAAGGCAGTGGACAATGGCCCAAGTAGTTGACCCTCTGCCACCCAGGTGGGAGACCAGGATGGAGTTCCTGGATCCTGGCGTCAGCCTGGCCTGGACCTGGCTGTTACAGCCAACTGCAGAGTGAGCCATCATCTGCTGCTTCCCAGGATACATTAGCAAGCAGCTGAATTGGCAGCCAAGGTGCTGTGACTCGAAGCAGGCACTTCAATTATGGGATACGGGTGTCCTAAGTGGCAATTTAACCCACTGTGCCACAACACTTTCCCCAGAGCCCCCACTCTTTACCACTATAATTTACTGCTTTTCTCCTATGGAAGGCCCAGCATTACATTTTAAAGTGCCCTGTCATACAAATTACATTCTCTTTGGTCCTGTCTTAAACTTCTTGGCCTATTCCCTTTGCTTCTTTAGTTCACTTGAGTCCCTGAGCATTTCTTGCAAAGTAGATGCTTCCCAATAACTACATCCATTTTTATTATCTACAGTTATGTCAAGTCATACCTTCTTCCTGACAAGTCCCGAAACAATAAGCGCAAGACCAAAATCAGAACAGGCACTAATCCAGAATTCAATGAAACACTAAAGGTAAATAAATACCCTCTCATAGTAACTCCTGTAATACTGGTCACAACCTCATTGGTTTAGAATTAACTACAGAGAAGCTCTTGTTTGCATGTCAAGATTTGCATATGTTTTAGAAAACTGGAATTTTAATAAACTATTGTAATTCTCTTTGATTTCCTTAGATTTTTCCTAAGGGAAAAAATGTACACCATTTTTACTCTGTTTATTTCTCTGCTGCTACTGCTGCTGAAATTGCACCTTAAGGATAATCCAGCAAAATGACATCTGGGCTGCTACATCTCGTGAAAAAGTTTCACCCTTGGGAAAACTGTGCTTGTTCTGACCCCCTTAAAAGAAATTTGCCGTAATTTTGATACTAACATAGCAGGTCACTTTGTATGTGTTCATTGTTCTGCTAACACAGCATGAGTATGTGCTGTTTCTTGTTAGGATTTCAGAATTTGGCTAAATTTAGCTATATGGTTAATGAACATCAGGGATGCAGGATTAGATTTGAGACATTAGAGAGAAAATGCTTAGCTAAAATATGACCCAGGATTCAATCCTAAAGAAAGCTATATTTCCAGTGGGCATCAGTGTAATAATCCACCCCCCCCAATTCTGGACCCATCTGTCCTAGTAAGAAATATCCACAGAGAATGGAATGTTGAAGTTATTACCAATCCTGTGAAGAGTTGAGGACTTGTGCCCAGAGTGATGAAGTCAGAGTGTAGCAAAAGAGGAGGTTGACAAGGGAAGAAAGCCATGAGGCTGCATGAGTCAGCAGGGGCACATGTGGAAGCAGGAGCTAATATCAAGGCAGATCAAACTAAAAATGAATAAATGCAGACAGAAAGTAAGTCCAGTGGCCATAACAGGATAGCAAAGATGAGCCCAGACAGAACAGATGAACACAGTTACAGGGTATGTTCAGGAAGCAGGGAGCCAAGGTTAATCACAAACAGTAACAGCGAGGACAGGAATAGACACAAATCCAAGATCAAGAATCAGTGAGGCTGAAATGTGTCCCAGATGGTGGTGGCATAGAACAAGCAGAAGGTTGGCGGGTATGAGAACATGTGGCCATGGGTAACATTCTGCTGGAGAAGGAAAAGCTAGCCCAGCAATACCCACTTTCTGCTTCATCTGCTCATATATCTTTTCACCTCTGCACTTAGGCTGGGCTTTATGAAGTTCGCTATTGGCAAGTTTCTCATTGTCAGTAGTTTTTGTTTTTAGGTATTCTCATTAGGAATAAAGTAAGATAAAGAAGTTGGAGAAATAATATATGTAAATGTTGAGCTGCTTACCAAGTAGATGTGGGAAAAATTAGGCAAATAGGAAGCAGGTAAAATTGGAAATAGGGGATAAATTTTGGCACTTCATGTTTTTATACAACACCTGCAGGTGATCCTCCTTCTGCAATATTATTTTATATATCTTTCAGCGCTAGTATAGCACAAAATGAATTTATAGAATAAAGCCTCAGTAGAAAGGTAAAAAAAAAGACACTGTTCTCTTTGGGTTCATTTTGTTCATATCACTGATGCATGTAGTCTGAAGGATGGTGGAAGTGAATTTCAAACTGTCATGCAATTAGAAAGAGCCCTCCTTGTGGGCTCTTTGTGTATAAGATGTTGTACATCTCATTTGCAGTATACTATCAGCCACACCCAGCTGGAAACAAGAACTCTGCAGCTCTCAGTGTGGCACTATGATCGATTTGGACGGAACAGCTTTCTTGGAGAGGTGGAGATTCCTTTTGACTCATGGAACTTTGAAAATCCAAGTGATGAGTGGTTTGTGCTTCAGCCTAAGGTAGGAAATGCTTTCAGATTAGTCATACTGTTATACAGTGAGGCAAGTTATAAGCAAAATTGATGTCACAGACCTAAACAATTTGAAAGCTTTGAGATTTCAAATGATAGTCTGGAAAGAATAATATAGCACATTGTAGAATATTATAATAAAGGTTCCAAAATTTTGCTTTGAAAGTCCTTGTCTATATCTTGTAAGCCATAAAATCACATGCGTTATTAATGCTTACCCAAACTTTATTCATTATTCATTTGAAAGTCTCCATGTAGAACAAAAAGTAACACGTGATATGCTCCTATTAGAAAGAGACAGCCTATATTTTCTCAAAGGCAAAAACAAATCCATACAGCATGACAAATCTCAAAAAATTGTCTCTATGAGAGAACTTCAAAAACTTAATGGAAATGGTATTAGAAGAAAAGTTTATTTTAATGAAAAAATTTTTTTTGAAATCCATGTGTGGTTTTCTTCTCCAAATTAGGGAAGTTTTCTGATTAAGCCTTCTAATCCATTCACTTCTTCCTCCTTCCATACCTTCAGGAACTCCTAAGACCCATGTATTGGATTGTTTGATAGTATCCCATAGATCTCCAATAGTGTTTTTAATTTTCCTAATTTCTTCTTCTTTTTTTTTTTGGGGGGGGGGGTCGGAGATATTTCCTAAGATGTAACTCCTAACTCAGACATTCTTTCTTATGCCTCACCAAGTCTGTTGTTAAAGCTTTCCACTGTATTTTCTATTTGACATACTGAATTCTTCATTTCTAATATTTCAGTTTGATTTCTCTTCAAAATCTCAATATCATGGGAAAATTTTTCCTCCATGTCATGTATGGATTTCTTAAACTTGTGAATTTGCTTCTCATTGCTTCTGAGTAATCCTATGATTAATCTTTTTAATTCTTTTTCAGGCATTTCATCAATCTCCTCATCTTCACATTCTAATATGGAAGTGTTGCTGTGTTCCTTTGCGGGAATCATGTTATCTTCCTTATTCTTGTTTCATAAATTTCTGTGCTCACTTTTAGGCATTTGTGGAAATACTTGTTGTTTTTCTCCTCTGTTTTCTTTTATATTTGAACTATGCCTCCGTAGCTTAGTGAAGTGTCTGCTCTTTCAGTGAACACCCAGGGACGTGTGCTGGGTGTGCCCAGGGAGCTCTGTTCAGTGCTCCAGGGTGGGATGAGTATCCAAGTTGACACTCAAGTTGGGCATGGTAGATCTCCTTTATTGTCAGCAGGTGGGAGGGTATAATCACTTCTGTTGGCTTAATCACATTCTCACCTCCTCCCTTCCAAGGAGATCAATGCCCAGGCTTAGCCCACAGTGGGTGTGACACTCACCCACGCTGCCTCATGAAGTATACAAAGGTTCTCTGCTGTCCTCATTGTGAGCACGGATCCCACTGCAATGACGCACCCCAGGGAATCAGGGAGCTCTGAGCCTCTGGTGCCGCACACAGTGATTGCCCAGAGACCCAGATACACCCTTCATCCTGTCATGCAGTCACAAAGTTCCCACAGCCTCAGCACACAAGGCTCCCACAGTCACAAGGTGCGGAGGATCTGCTCCACCCCAATAGCCTTTCTGGTCCACAGAGAGAGCAGAGATGTTCCCAGAGCCAGTGGCCTGTGGGTGCTCTGCCTTGATGGTTTGAGGCCCAGAGCCTGAGATATATTGAGAGGCTGGGGACACCTCAGATGTATGTGGGTTCCCAACCCCCATCAATCCTCCCAGCCAGACTCAAAGTCAATAGGGAACCGGATTTTTCACTCTGGTAAAGTCCCCAGATCACAGGCACACACAAGAGCTACCACGGCCACTACTGGTATCAAAATGGTGCCATCACCCCACTGGTTGCCGGGCACCCTCTTTGGGGGATGGGGAGAAAAAAATGTGCCTTCTTTTTTTCACAAGGTTAGGTGGGTACCCTGGACCCCTTTAGGGCTCCAGGCCAGACTGAAAGACAAAGTGCTCCACCAGGCTCTCCCTCTGGCAATACAGCAGTGGTACGGCTGCTACAGTCTGCTCTCACCTCACTCTCCAAAGCCGGCACTTCTTCTGGCTCTCGGCTTCAGGGATCATGTGTGGGTCCACGCTTGTTGCTGTGCGTTTGCACCGTCTGCACTGACCCACAGCGTGCCTCTCCTTTCTATAGAGTTTCCACTGCAGCGTTCTCTCCAGCTCTCCCCTGGGGATGCACTTCTCTGCTTTGTTGCTACTACTTTCCCCTCACCTAAAGCAGTATTCCTTTCTCTATTCAGCCATCTTGGAATCCCTCCTAGTTTTCTTCATAACACATATTTTCCTTTAACTTTTGGAAGACCTTTCATATTTCTCGTAATTTAGACCAATAAGCAGAATTGGTCTTGTCTTGGCTCACACGAGGGAGTGACTAGTAACTAAATTCTCTATTTTCCTGCATTCCTTCTTTGGAGATTCATAGCCCAGATCTTAAGTTATATTCAGAAAAACAATCTCAGACCTGCATCTAAAAATAAAATACCAATATAATATAGCATGTTCTAATCTACAACGAAAGTACCTGAACTACTGGAATCTCTCTAGAACTTTTTTAAGTCAAAAAGGAGATGGAAGGGGTCACATCTATGTAGCCAAAGATTGTTCTTTATATACAGGTAGACTAAAAAAATAGGATAAAGATGGTGGACTCATATCAGACTTAGTTGCTACAGTAGTAGCTTCATGACTGCCTACAATACCCATGCCTTTGAGCTCTCGTTTGTAATATAATCATGGGGTGTAGCTGGTAGGACTGCTGTGACATTTAAATAAGCATTCAGTGTGAAGCTATCAGTATTCTATCAAGCACATTGTAAGTTCCCAATAAATTCTAGGTAGTATACATCTTACTTAGGAGTCTTATATTGCAAATGACAGAAACTACAACTTATACTGATAGGAAAATAAAGGGAGATTATTGGCCAATAATGTTCTGGCATGGCTTGAACCAGATGCTCAAATCCTATCACAGCCTTGGAGTCTCTTGGTTTCCATCTTCTTTTTGCTGATTTCATTTTCAGGTTCGTTCCACAGTGTGTTAGACTTACTCATTGGCTCCAGGCATCTTTCATTGGGTACTAATGACTACAGTGGTTGCAAGCCTCTCATCCTGGCATCACATCACCCTGGGCCTGATTCTCTTAATTCTAGCTATATCATTTGCCTATCTTGAGCAAATGACTGTGGCTTGGGAGGTGAGTTGTATTGCCTGACATAAGACAATCAGAAAAAACCCTGGTTTTGAAGGGAGAATTTCCCGAAAGGAAACCCAGGTGCAGTTATACTAAAAGAATGGTTAGAGATGCTTCCCAACAAAATCAAGTGCTGCCCCCCATATCATCATAAATAGCAACATCATTCCCATTTAACGATTATACCAACCATGTGAGGTAAGTATCATTATCCCCATTTTATAGATGAAGAAGCTGAGACTCAGATGTTGTGGAGCTTTGTATCTGTTGGTCTGAAACATGGTGTAACTAACTCATGGAATATCTTTAGGAGTTATATTTGTGCTATGGGTAAAATTGACAATGAAACACATTTTGAAAATCCTTAATTGCAAACCAATAACTGATATAAATGTGATAGATAAGAACAGTCCAGTATCAGTATTAACAACAAACCAGTCCACAATAGCATAGTATTTCCCTGGCATTAAATATGGCAAATCCTCTATCATTACAGCATTAAATTTCTTGGAATTGAATTATAAGCCTTGCCATAAAAGCTAGCACTTCATATGACTTAGCCTACTATCAGTTGTTTACTTTTGTGTATTATGAATGAGCATCATCATAAGAAATTGACCAAGACATCATGTGATACATGACACAGGTGAAGGATAAGTAGCATGTGTCTTAGTGCATAACACTCATTTATCTGTCATGGAGTTAGTGGTAAAGTATATAGGGGCACTTTGGAAACCAGTCTGGAGGGAACGGTTTCCTGGAAATAGCTGAAGGACTTTTGGGGGATGGGGATGATGTAACTAAGCTCTCTCAGGCCTTTACAGACATCCTAGGAGCTTAGGGCCCATGGTAATCACCTCCACATTATGCTTTGCTAGTTCCTTTCTATTATAGAAGGAAACATCTCTGCATCTCTCTGACTCAACACACTGAAACATCACCAGATTTCTAACCATGTCTGCTAGGAGGTTTGCTCCAATAGCCTCCACCTGAGATCTTTTAGAAGCCTGCCTTCAAGTAACTGTAGCTTTTTGCCTACTTGGAAAGAGAGCCAGAGGATGCTGGGAGTTTTGTACCTCCTGCCACAAGGTAACCCTTCATCAATAACTGATAGGTGGGAGAGTATGAAAACCTGCTTCCTGGACTGAGAGTGAGAAAAACCCTGAAGTTCTACTGTTTAATGTTTTTATTAATAGAAAAAGAAGGGATTAAAAGCAGTTTATGGGTGCAATTCTAAGAATATAGTGACACTGACCTCCCGCCTGCCCTCCCTCCTCTTTTTTATTAACTTGCAAAAATGTGTTTTTAATGTACTTTATAATCATAGGATTAATGTTCTATAGAAAGAGATCAACATATTGAAAGTAGAAAGCCCTCTGTTCAATAGGCACATAGACAATGACTATAAACAATAATCAAGTCCCAGGATGCCAATTTCCCTGAGATTTTACTTACAATCCACAGTGTTCCTGCCTCATCAGGCTGAAGCTGCTTTCCAGGGAGCTTTGCCTCAGAATGTATGTATCCCTGCCCTGCTTCCCTCAACCCTTCCCCAGTTTCTCTGGTGAGCATACCCTTAATACATCATTTGCATAAGAATTCTCAACTCTGAACCTGTTCCTGGGCAATCCAACAGAAGTTTGTGCCTCTGATCCACATCATCTTCCTATACCAAGCTTCCTGTGATACAGAGGAAAGGTGGAGGAACACTCAGACTTGCTTAGATGCCATGCCTTTCAAACTTAGCAAGACAGTGCCAAGGCATGCTCTGGGTGCTACCTCACG